AAGTTTTGAATTATTTTTAAATTAAAACCAGACAATATATCAATTGTTTCAATGGTTGTATTGGCAAATATTTTATTTGAATCGAGAGGCTTGAAATCATTGTCCAATTTTTCAATTTTCTTCCCCGAAAAATTTCGGACTTTTCACAGTCCACTAAGTTTGGAATCTTTCGAAAATATGAAAGATCTAACGCAGATATTCTCGAGAATTTGGGCTTAAATAAGGAAGCAGCTGCTAGGAATTCCTTGAAGGGACAATTTCCAGAAACTTCCTTCAAACAGATAGTTCTTTTGCAGTTTTTCGCACCTCTTTCTGTAATGTAATGGCTCTATAGGAATTATTTCAAAGATGTTCATTAAAGGATTTGAGGGACAAGCTTATTTCTAAAAATTCTACAATCATGTTTCATGGTCCCCAATTCAGTCCAAAAAATGAATTTACAAAAAGAAGGCAAAATAACTATTGCACAAAAGTTTTAGGATACGCATTCTTTTTCAAGAAAGTCGAATATTCATGAAATAAAGAAAATAAAAACAAGAAGAATCATTCTAGCAGAAAATTTCTCAGAGGAGCGAATTCCTGGAATATTTACATAGAGAGTGCAAATGCAGTGTGTCGTCCGCTTGGAAACACGAGACATCGCAAAAAAGTGAAACATGAATGAATGAAAATAATATGACGGTCTTAGAACTAAAGTCAATTGAGCATAAAAAAAACTTTGCTTTATAGATTTATTAAATTAGTTTAAATTACGAGCTCATAGAATTTTCAAGGTAAAGGTTAAAGAGCGATGAAATTGCTGAAAAGGAGCATAATTTTTTCCTATGTAGAAGCGCATGTTTCATAAAATGAGGACTCGGAAAATAAGCATAAATAAATTAGGAAAAAGATGGATGGAATCTTTTAAAGGAGTGTGAAAGTGGGAATGTCTTGAGTTTTTTGAACAAAATTCTAATTCTCAGAACTTCTCCCGTTTATTGAGAGTTTAAAAGTCCAACTTTCGGCTAAACTCTTTGACTAGTGCGCACCTTTTCAATTGCTCTAATAGGTTTCGCACTTTTCGATACCAAGCAGCAAAGTCACGGCTATTGTGTTTCAAACTTCGAAAAGCTGTTTTTGCTCTAAACTAATCGTTGTAAGCTTTGCCACTTAGCTCTTTTTTTTTGGAAATCAATAAAATCATAGGGATTTCAAGTTAGAAAGATTGTTTGGTAATAATTATGAATATGAGTATGAATGGAATCTTATACAGCACCTTCACGTATAACAGAAAATATGGGGGCCGCTCAGAGAATCAAGAACAGGAAAAAGGATAATGT